CAGAAGCTATACGTACTGTTAAATTGAATTTGTCGACAGAAACTATACGTACTGCTTATCCAACTTGCCACCAGAAGCTATACATACTGCTTTATCCACTTTGCCATCAGAAGCTTTACGTACTGTTATATCAAACCTGCCAACAGAAGCTATACGTACTGTTATGTCCAACTTGCCGACAGAAACTATACGTACTGCTTAATCAAACCTGCCAACAGAAGCTATACGTACTGTTTAAATGCAACTTGCCGACAGAAACAATACGTACTTCTTAATCAAACTTGCCAACAGAAGCTATACGTACTGTTAAATCCAACTTGCCAGCCGAAGCTATACATACTGCTTTATCCAACTTGCCAACAGAAGCTATACGTACTTTTAAATTCAAATTGCCGACAAAAACTATACGTACTGCTTAATCAAACGTGCCAACAGAAGCTATACGTACTGTTATATCCCACCTGCCAACAGAAGCTATACATACTGCTTTATCCAACTTGCCAACAGAAGCTATACATACTGTTAAATTCAACTTGCCAACAGAAGTTACACGTACTGCTTTATCCAACTTGCCAACAGAAGCTATACATACTGTTATATCCAACTTGCCACAACTTGATGTAATCTACTTTTATATGCCTCCTAGTTATTAACAACTTTATTAAAGTCGTATATATCATTTTTTATGTCATTTGTTTTACGTGTTTCCTGTTGCTTTTGTAACAATTCATTCCCATATTAAACTCACTCTAACACCTTATTTGCGCATTTAGAGTGAGTCCGTGGTTTACCATTTTTGTACCTTTGTGATCTTGAATTTTTTTCATCATTATTACTTTACAACTACTAATATGTCTTTTATGTTTCTTAATTTGTAAGTATCATCTTATTGTTTAACAATATTTTGGATTGCTGCCACATTGCTGTTGTTTAACTTGAATATTCTAGAAAGTAACCATGAACAACATTAACGAAAGGAAAAAATATGTTTAAAGTTCCGGAATAGAGGAATATAAACATGATGCATAAACTTAGTATGATCGTCAATCGGTTGTTTAAATCACAATTTAATGGAAACTTCGTAGGGGACCAGTTAAGAATTTAAGATTCTAGCCCAAATTCTTATATACGGGAGATAACTGTGGAAGAAAAAATTTGACCTTCGGTGCTTTCCGTGTTTTATTACTAAAGTCTTGGTCAAGTAAATATTTTGTTTTTAGTGGTTAAATTCTCCCATTTATGTTATTTATGATTTTATATTGTGAATCGAAACTCTTGGAAACATGGGTGAAATAACGAAGATCAACGGTAGAAATTTGGCTATTGTTTATAGATCTATTATTGTAGCTTCTTTGACGGATTCACAGACACAGATCACATCACAAATCGTTTTCATACAATCATGTATAAAAAAACATATGTTATAAGATTATACTAAAATATTGTGGTCAGTGTGGATCGAAACTTTTCCATTTTTCTAGGCAAATCAACCTGTCTTGACGGAATGAAGGAAATAATATAAATGGCAAGAAATTATAACTTATGCATAGTGCCTATATAATTGAGAATCATGTTCGAGTACCTCAGTAAAGAAAATAGTACGGTGTTTCCTTTAAGGCCGGCACGTTTTCTCCAAGAACGAAAAGCGCAAAACATGACAGTTCTATGGTTACAGTACGGCAATATTGTGAAGAAACACAACAGCACTATGGGGTCCGTCGTACTGTCGTATTGTCACCACCATACAGTCATAATGTCACTGTCACCATCATACTGTCGTACTGACACCATCATACTGACGTACTGTCACCATCGTACTATTGTATTGTCATCACCATAAATTCGTACTGTCACCATCGAACTGCCGTGCTGTCACCATCGTGATGTCGTATTGTCGTATTGTCAACACCATACAGTCGTTCTGTCACTGTCACCATCGTACTGTCGTACTGTCACAATCGTACTGTCACCATCGTACTGCCCTGTCACCATCGTCTGAAGTACTGTCACAACCATGCACTCGTACTATCACCACCGTACTGCCGTACTGTCTCCATCGTACTGTCACCATCGTACTGTCGTGCTGTCACCATACAATCGTACAGTCGTACTGTCACCACCACACAGTCGTAATGTCACTGTCACCATTGTACTGTCGTACTGTCACCATCGTACTGCCGTACTGTCACATCGTACTGTCGTACTGTCACCATTGTACTGCCGTACTGTAACCATCGTACTGCCGTACTGTCACCATCATACTGTCGTACTGACACCATCGAACTGCCGTACTGTCACCATCGTACTGTCACCATCGTAATGTTTTACTGTCACCATCGTACTCTCTTGCTGTCACCACCTTACATTCGTACTGTCACTATCGTACTGCCGTACTGTCACCGTCTTACTGTCATCATCGTACTGTCGTACTGTCAGTCACCATCGTACTGTTGTACTGTCGCCATCGTACAGTCTTACTGTCACCACCGTACAGTCGTACTGTCACCATCGTACTGTCGTACTGTTACCATCGTACTGTTGTAGTCAACAGTGTACTGTCAACCACGTTAATAGAACCACGTCAAAAATAGTGAGAACTTCTAAGCAACAACAATTCAAGGTTTTGTACAATCTATTTACAACCAATTATGCATTTTCCTTTGACACTAAAAAATGTTTGATTTACAAACATTGAGTTGCAAATGCTGCAAGATATTTGAATTTAAATTACAATTAATCTAAGAGAGTACTATATATTGAATATTATCATGTTGAGTGAAAATGTACTCCATATTTCACAAAAACGTTAAAATAGCATTTTATCTTATTTTTCCAGCATAAAAAATAATGTTTACAAACACCCTTTCTTGGTAAATAATACATTTAGACAGCGCGCAATAATATATTTGTCACAGGGTCATTTGTTATTATATATACATGTATATACTTTACCATTATTATATTCTATATGATATATAGTGCATTTCTTATAAATATATTCTTCCTTGTCCATACACTCTTCATCTCATATTTACTCCCATAGCCTCATTATATCGCTCATCATATACCATACACTTACTATAGTAACTGGTGACGGGTCCCATTTTTTCGCTCATTATTAACCGCCACGCATGCGCACGGCAGATTTGAATTACAGTTGTAGAGTGAAAACCTAACTCCTGTCTTTGTGTTGATTATTTAATTATTTTGCTGTCTCTGTGTGCTTTTGCAGGTAATTTACTTATATAAGTGTATTGATATATGCTCACTGTTCATTTTCTCATTCATCGTTTGTTTCATGATTTTGACGGTTTTGTATACTTATGGAATGCACTGAAGATTTGAATTACAGCTTACTCCTGTCTTTGTGTTGATTATATATTTATTTTGCTGTATCTGTGTGTATTGCAGTTCCAACATAAAATATAACTTTATAAAAACCCTTCGATCAACATAGAAGGTAACATATTATTTATATATGTAATAAAATTCTATACACAATTTATCACCGCGTCTATGATGGGAAATAATATTTTAATATGTTATAATGGAATGAATGCCTGAAGCCACTTTTTATTAGACGAATTACCTTAGAAAGTAATCCTTACGAATAAATATTAATATTGACTCCGCCTACTTTCATATGTATATTTCACATATTTCATAGACTGCATTTTTTTCCTTTTGTAAGAGGGCATTGTTAAGGAAGACCGTATGGCATGATGAATTTTACATTCATGTTAATATCTTATTATGCGCATACTTAACAGGAAGACGACAATACAATGGTGACAGTACGACAGTACCATATTGACAATACGACAGTATGGTGGCGAAGAACGACCATAAGATTACCATAAAACATCGTGCTTCGCCATTGTACTGTCATACTGTCACTATCGTACTGTCGTACTGTCATCATTGTAAATTCATGACTCACGCTTTACGTTCTCAGTTCTAGCAGAAAACCGCCACGTGAATAATTAATTTCAAATGATGAAACATGTATGCCGATTTCCACAGCAGTGCTTAGTTATAACAGATTCTAACACGACCCACAATTTTCCTTGTTGAACATAGAAGGGCCGAAAGTGTTTGTTAAATTATGCAATAAACTCGCTGTTGAGATTCTCTATTAAGACATGTGACGTAACATTCAACATATGACGTAATCATTAAAATGTAAAGCGCTGAAAATAAGTTATAGTTATGGAATTTATTGCATTGTAGCGTAGCGAGTGAAACAATAAGTTCTATATGTTTTAAACTGGCTAACCGTTTGGATCCACTATCGCGGAATAAGTCACGTATGCAGTGTCGGTACAGCGTTTTATGTAATTAAAACGAGCCGTTTATAATAATGTTATGATATTACACGTTAAAAATTGATTTTTGTTTTCAAAGCTGATTATTTTACGTTTTCTTGATATATAGAGTAAGAACATGTGCTGAGATTGACAAATATACATTTTATTTGGAATTTAAGTACGGTAACAATTCAGTCTGATATCAAACTCCGCGCACCGGTTACGCTACGGTCAGTAGCCACTACCTTCACATAAATCACACGATGATCGTCTTATAACATGATTGTGTCAAGATGGCGGATATGCCGAAGAAATCGGTGAACAATTGTTTTTATTTATAATAAACTGCAACATTATGTCTTGGGCTCTAGTGTTAAGTCAGTCGATAAAATTGGGAAAAAATCAATTTTTTAAAGTGTAGAATCGAATGTAGTAAAATAAAATAAAATAGATAACATGATGGCAGTAATGTCTTTATGTTTACTACCATGAAATTATTAGTGACTAAATAGTTTATCGTTCATACTCAGAAAACATGTTTAGGTAGGAGACAATTATCAACAGGGAAAATATTGTAGAAGGCTACTTTTAATAATTTCTGTAAAAAATGATATTTATCGAAAATTTTAGGTAAAATCTTGCAGTAACAAAAGTTCATCTCTGAACACTGTGAGCGTAAAACAATTGACTTACCACCTCTGTGTTTGATATACTCTGGACTTAACAATGCGGTTTTCTCAAGCCGACTCTTTATCTCTTGTGTGTCCTGTCCATTCTCTGCACAAACGATCAGCTCTAATAAGTCAGTCTGCCAGGTCTTTCTCAAACGCTCTTTAAAATCTGTGTAACCTTTAGCACGTTTGGATATTACCCTTTTCAATATCATTTCATTCTTATCAGTTAGATCTTTACCCTGTAACATTATTTTTTATCCATAAGATTCAAAAATATTTTACCTTTATATCAGCTTAATGTTCATTACATTTTTTACACGTTCGGTAAGCGTTTAATTTTTGTTGCATTTGTAAGAATAAGATTATCTTACCAAGTTCACTTTTTGAAATAACTAATACAGAAATCTTGAGATATTTCATATGTAAGTTACAAGCATTAAATAAGATTATTGCTCAAATGCGTCAGTAATTATATTACAATCAATAATTAAAATAAAAACTCACCATGTTACACTTGTCATCAAATACTGACAATTGAAAAAAAGTAATCTAATCGTTTGGCCTTTAAACTATTTTATATCGTACCTTGATATTCTTTCTGTCTGCGACGGTAAGTAATCCAAAGCCTGTCTCACAATCAATTATAGGATCAGGATGCAAATACTGCTTGAGTGCAACGAAATTCTTAATGATGGCTTTTCGGCAAATCTCAATATCAGAAGACTTTGTCATCTCCAGTTCTACTTTAAATACAGATTCATTATGTATTATTGATTAATTATCCCTTTAAAGATGATTCGAGATACGATACAAAATATATTGTTACCTTGAAAATATTTTATCCATATCAGACTTCTCTTCATTATGTAATGCACCTTTGCCGTAGAATGCGGAGCATGAAAAGCTTACGTGTTTGCGCTTGACTTAGCCGCATGATTTTTATAATTTTAACAACACTGACAAAATGTGTAAATTATTATTGTGCAAGATCGATAATTGAAATTGAGCATGTTATCGCATGCTGAAATAGCTAGGGCGCACCGACCCGCATGACCAGTAGTTAAGTGGGTTGAGCACATAAATATGGTGGCTAACATCAAAATGTGTCTGATCATTCCGCAATGGTATCGTTTATCTTTGTATTTCATGAGGTTATTATTTATTAACCTCCGTTTTTCATTGGTTTATCACATGTATTGTCCCTTTTGTCGTTGTGTGGAATGTCGCTTTAGTTATATCTATCCAACAATGTGGCCATGACCAGAAAATGAATAAATGTATTCCTTTCTTTTACATTTTCAGGAACACTCTCCCTGAGCATAGCTTTGACATTAAGTATTTGTTTTTTCTTACCTTGTTCATTTACCAATGGAATGTTCTGCTCAAACAACTGCGGTGGTATGGATATTACATGCGGAGGTGTAGGCGCCCTAGTCGGAGTCGTAGGTGGTCTAGACGATGAGGTAGCCACAGAAGATGACCTACATTGCCGCTTGGTTTCCCTTTGAAGTACGGGTGCCCTATGAGGTGGTGTTGCTTGTGGCTGTCTTTTCCGTAGCGCTGTTTTGTCAAGGTTCTCAAGTCGGACAGGCGGTTTCCTCTCTCTTGTCGAGCGTCTCGTTTTGTCTAACATATAATTTAAACAAATTTAAAGAAATGAGCGTTTTTAAAATCATTCTTGTCTACTATTCTTTACTAGTGTTTTAAATCATTTTCTTTTCTACTACATGTATTTAGTTTAATATTATAATCAATATAGGCGCACTTTACCGACAATTTACATTTTATCACTACATTTTCCAATCAATTGGACCTTCCGACTTCTCCCATAATTCATTTACATATTTATTTATTTATTTATTCAAATACTTGAAAGACATTTTACTTATGTCGTTATGTAACAGTACATTATTATTAGCTGTAAACTTTATTGACTGCAGTTTAGATTAGAGATGTACCAAAACGTCCCGTCAGACAACAGGCCCCGTTCAAGATACAGTCGACAGCACATACTTAATTCTGTGTATTCCAAAGCCACAACGGTTTTTCTTATAATATAAACAAGCAAATGTCCAATGAAATACGAGTCTTCAGTCCAAAAGGTATTGGCTTTTTAATTGTATCTTAAGTTACTGACTATTTATGTGAATAGACAGATTTATTGACATTTTTTACTCCGATTACTTCGGACAATATTGTAAAAAACGTTTGGAATCATTTTTTTTTGGACACTTATGACCATGATAAAGCCAATGCGGACACGATTGTTGGAATAATAGGACAACAACTTCGTTGCACATTTTTATTACTAGTCATGGTATTGTTTACTCGTCTTGGAAAATTAGTATTCAATTTCTTACAGATTATTCTAAAAATTCGTTTTTTCCTAGTGTAGTATATTCAAGTTGCACAGAGTATATCATTAAAGGAAACGCTTTTTCAAGTTGTGTACATAACATTTTCCCTACCATGCCATTGACATAAAATGCAAAAAGTATTTTACTATGTTTACCGTAATTGTATATGCATTGTAAAGGTGGGAATCAATTGCAGACTAGGTAAGAATGTTATGTTTATTGGATAATTGAAATCATAGTATTTTACCGCATTCTGAAATAGCTATAGTGCGCCGGCCCTAATAGTCAGTGGTTCTGTGTGTTGAGCAACAATTCTTCAATAGTATCGTTTTCCTTTGTATGTGATCAGTTAATAACCTTTTAACCCTCCCCTTAATGACAATTTGTGCCCCCTTTCGTTATGTGGAAAATTAGTCAACAAGGTGGCCATGTCCACAAATTGACTTTATATATTTCTTTTTTTTATTTAGATTTTCAGGGACGCACTTCCCGAGCATAATTTAGACACAAACAAAATGCTGTCTCTAACCTTGTCGATTTATCAACTTGATGTCTTGCTCCAAACACTGCTGCGCCGTGTCCGCTTGTGGTGGTATGGCTGCTACAGGCGATGTTGTACTTGCCCTTGCTGGTAGTGTAGGTGCCCTTGGCGTAGAAGTATGTGAATTAGGCGATGCTGTAGCCAAAGAATACAACCCATGTTGCTGTGTAGGTCCACATGGTGGTATAAGTGCCTTCTGAGGTGGTGGTGTTTGTGATCTACTCGGTGGCTGCCTTGTCCGTGACAGCTTCTCGGCATTGTCCTCAAGTCTTGCAGGCGGTTTCCTTTTTCGAGTAGAGCGTCTCATTTTTTCTAAAATATAAAATACATAAAAAAGTGTTTAAAGTCGTTTTTTACTACTGCGTATAATACAGTTATGATTAATTGACAAAAGGCGGTCATAATTGTACTTTTTACGGACAAACCCAACGAGATTACATTTTATAAAAAAAAAATTACATCCATCTCAATCAATTAAATCGTCATATGCCGTTGCAATGTAAGACTCTTTGTGAAAAAAAAAAAAAAAAATCGCGGGCTTTAAATTTTTGCCATTTTGTGGTCACATTCACGAATTCTTGTGCATCGCGAACATTTCTATGCTAAAAAAACAAGGGGGCATTGGCCCCAAAGCGCACACCTGAAAACATACATTTATTTGTGTAAGGGCTACCATTAACAACAGGGGCAAACTATGAATAACTAAAGTAGATGACCTATATATGATATAATATACTAAATATCTAAGCTATAAGTATTGTACCTTCACACACTTTTTTTTAAAAGATACAAATAAGAAAAAACCTATGACCAAGGGCGACAGTGTCCATTCTAGGAGGGGGGCTGGAGGATTAAGCCATATTTTTGAGAATTCCCCCTAGTTTTTCAGAGGCAAGGAAAAATTGGATATAGAGGAAGACGGAAAAAGATAAAAAAAAATGTAATAAATTCCCATTTTTCGATAAAAATCCCCCCTGTGTTATCGAATTGGGTGAATATTTCTTTCGAAATTTTTAGATTTGTTTCCTTTCTCAGAAGCCTTAATATATAATGTAATTCCATATTTTCCGAATAGTAACTCATTTGTGAATTATCTAACTCTTTTTCATCTTTTGGTTTTGGCAATAAGTACAGCTATAGTGAGAGCCACCTCCAAGAGGGAGCAACGCTCGACTTTTTTACTTTTTCTAAAAGCAATCAAACGGTTTGAACAAATCTCAAAGAAAAAAAGATAACTTTTCCTTTTGATAATTCTAATAGATCTGTAGAACCACACTAGTTTTATCCAAGTTTAAATCAAATTCATGTATAAATAACAAAAATATGACAATTTAGCACAAAATTCAATGATATGACCTTGTTTCCTACGTTAAGTTGTTAAAACAGCACCCCTTTCAATATCATGTTGAAAACGTTTATAAACTTTTGTTTATTTTATTTCGCTCTAAATTTGTTCAAGCGAAATAAAGATTATTAAAAGTGAAATAAATGTAAAACTTAAAACGTTTGCGACATTAATATAGCGTATTTGATTTATTTGTTTTGCACGTGCTGTTTGGCGCTACATTAAAATTGTGACGTCACGTAAACAATACATTAAACGTTTGTACAGCGTTAACGACTGAATAAAAGATATTGGTGTTCGGATTCATTTTCTTAGTTAGACCATTTTCTTTCATTCTAGATAGTTTTCACAACAAAAGTCGACAAAAAATATAGAAAATATTTCTTATATTTAATTATTCAGTAAAGCAAGTTTTCTCGACAAGTACAAAGATAGTCCATGATTACATGTAATACATCTAACTGGTAATATACAAATTCTGCTAAAATTTCTTAAGTAATATCTTTACATCAGAGGTTTTATTGTTTTGTAAGATGTAGAATTTATTATATAACTAACATTGTAAGAAAAAGATATTCAGAATTTTACGCCAACACATATTTTTTTCTATATATCTAACATAAGTGATTAGCAATTCAGCCCTGAGGAGAGAAACATGATATTTCCGTGAAATACTATTTTATTTTCGATGTAAGTAAAGATTGCTTTGAAGTTTATGCTAAATTTTCTTCTTATACTATATAGTCAGCGGATTTAATATACTATGCATTATGTACAAATGTATAGTAGCATCTGCTGACCCGTTAACCCATTACCGCAGAAGCATTTTGTGAAAAATGGCTCTTTGATTAAAAAACCACCTGTTACACAATTTCAAATTGCTATGAAACAATAAAACATGCTTTAAATACTAATAAAAACTTGGCACAAATGTTAACTGCACCATAGCCTTTGTAACGGCATGCTCAATCTTAATTTTCCTGTTACCATGGCAACGAGGGAATATTTCAAAATAACTATGTTGTGTTGATTTTTTATCAAAACTGATTGCAAGTGCTGCAACTTTTCAAGAGTGAAAGGCTTTTCAGCGTTGGTTACACGTTACTTTACACCATTTTGAGCCTCTCACAATATAATAAGAAATTCACGGCATGAAACCAAATTTCTCTAGATATATATGTGCCCCCTTCTGCATGGGCGTTTGAAAGGGGACTGCCGCTCCACTCAACTCCAAAAAAAAAATCATCGCATTATTGCACGGTCGACATCTCTTTATTGCATTGTCACCATCGCACTATCGCATTCTCGCATTATTTTTCTGTCGCACTGTCGTATTGTCGTCATCGCACTATCACACTGTGGCATTGTCGCCCTCTAGATTATTAAGTATAACCACGATGGCCCTAATCGTATTTCGTATATAACAGTAAACAGTTATAGATTAAGCTTCTTTTGTATTACTCCAAATAATCCTAAAATAACTAATCATAAATATGATAATACCGCTAGAATTGTAACTTGGAAATAGCCAGGTTTTATATGGTTCAAGAACAATATCACAAATATAAACATAAACAATGTTATCTAAAAAAAAAGGATAGTTTTTACGAAAATAAGTGCAAAACATATTAAAACAAAACGACCAATATAAAACAATCATAGCTTCAATATAATTGAAAATACAAAAACTTTGACATACACGGTCTCGATCAATTGTCAGTTTAAGCTCATATCTCAACATTTCCGACAGCCGAATCCTCACTTCTTCTTAACCAAATATGGCAAGATGGTTAAGCGTTCTTCCTGTGTATCCACATCGGAATTAATCTGGTATTTTGCCGATATTTAGTCTGATATCGTCTATATATAAATATTAAAGCTTATATCTTGACTGTTTCGGCTAACCCCCGTGTGCTTAAGCCTCCATTCCGCACAACTTCATATGGTGGAATGGTTGGAGGTATGACGGGGTTGTCCCCGCTGGTATAGGAATTTCCGTGGGAAAATGTTTTTTTTTTCTGAATTTTAAAGGAAAAAAAAATTTTGAACGGGAAAAATCTTTTTTTTAGCACTCACCTGAAATTTTTAAAACTTGCACCTTGTTTTCCCACGCTCTTTTTCGTTGAATCCCATATTTAAGCTTTGTTTGTGGTCCGCTGGTATAGGTGTGTCCGTCGGAAAATTTACGCTCATATCTCGCCATTTCCGACTGGTCCCTGTGAGCCCCAGGGTCAATTCTGCAGAACTCCATATGTTAGGATGGTTAAGGGGTCTGACTGTGCCTCTGCTGGTACAGATATTTCCGTCAGGAAAACGCTTGAAAATTGCCGACGTTTAGCCGAAAATAAATCGAACGGTTAATGGCCATTTCAGCTCATATCTTGCCAATTCATCCTGACCCCTAAGAGACCATTTGGACATTCTCTGATATTCTGTGGACGATAAGCCGAATATAAAACTGCTAAACATTTCGAAATTTTCAGCTTGCTCCTGTGATCCCAAGGCGAGGTTCCACAAAATCCCATAAAGTTGCATGCTTTGGAACGAAACTGGTTGTAACATTTTATCTACTTGAATACCCAATTTTATCTTACAGTCGTGATTTCTCAAATTTTACTCCGTAAATTTACGTTTGAAACATACGGATATCACGAATTATCGATTTCAATTTTACGATTTTAACTACACAGACTCATAATTTCAACTTCGTGAAATCACTGTTTGGACTTCACGAATTCAAAAATTGTTTCAATCATGTTAATTTCACGAATTCATGATTTAAACTTAATGATTTCAACTGCACGAATTCACAATTTCAACTTCCAGGAAGATGAAATCGTGAATTTACGACATTAAAATCGTGAACGAAGTTGAATTTGTGAAGTTAAAATCTTGAATACGAGAAGTTGAGATCCTGAATACGAGTACGTGAAGTTGGTCTCGTAAATTTATGAAGTTGAAATCGTCATATTGTTGAAATTGTGATTCTTGAGTTAAAATCGTGACTTCATGAAGTTGAAATCGTACGTATATTCGAGAAGTTGACATCGTGAAATAGTGATGATGAACCCGAAGTTGAAATGTCACAAGTGGTTTTTGGTATTAAAGGATCCGGTGTGTCTCTGCTGGTATATTCTGGTATTATGGTCATTTTAGCTCAAATGTCGTCACCGATTCTGATTTGTTTCTGAGTTATAGCCTCAATTCTGCAGAACCCTATATGTTGGCATGTATGGTTGCGTATTTCTGCCAACAGTTAACCATATTATTTATTGCGTTAACTATGAATTTCTAGTTAATTTTGGTTTTAACGCAACGATAAAAAACTGATATCTATCAGAAAAACTTTATATTTTGTTACTGTTAGATAGATAAATAACGAATAACTATGAACTACCGAAAACATTTAAAGTGCCCAGAACTTCCATCAGTTCAGTTTATAGATAATGCAAAATGTTTCTTATTATTAGATTTCGGTAAAACTTGCCGAATTCAATAAGTTTTGGTAAGGTTTAACACCCTTTGTAGGAATGTTTCCAAAGTATTCCGCAATATCTTTTATCTGTTCACTGAAAATCAAATCAGTTTTACAGATAATTACCTGATATTTATAACCCAACAAACGATGTTCAGGGGGGGGGGGGTTATATAGGAGTCAGCCTGTCGGTCCGTCCACATCATGGTTTCCGGACCATAACTAGAGTTTATAAAGATATATTGTAATGTAACTTGGTATATAGCACACTGATGTAGGGACCCCAGTTGGTATTGCATTTGGAATCCCTGGGGTCAAGGTTAAAGTCACTGTTACTAAAAATATAAAAAAAAGGTTTTCGGACATAACTAGAGTTAGGAATGAGATATTGTAATCCAATTGATTGTATAGCAAGGGCATATGACGTCATATGGAGTCAGCCTGTCGGTCCGTCCACATCATGGTTTCCGGACCATAACTAGAGTTTCAAAA